GGCGTGCGGACATCCTGGGTTGCTGTGTCTAGGCATCTCCACAGCCCGCATCGGCGTGTGGACATCCTGGGTTGCTGTGTCTAGGCATCTCCACAGCCCACATCAGCGTGGGGACGTCCTGGGTTGCTGTGTCTAGGCATCTCCACAGCCCGCATCGGCGTGGGGACGTCCTGGGTTGCTGTACCCGAGTGTGCAGAATGGGGTGGAATGCAGCAGTGTGGCTAGCAGAACAGTGGTGTTAGAGACCCCTGAGAGGTGGGAAGCCCCCTAGGGAGTCCCTCTGGGTTCAAATGTAGTGGAGCCAAGCTAAAATAAAGCCCTAGTAAGTATGTAGACTGAGCCCTGGACTAAGAAGTCCCCTTTGGCTGGAGCCCCAAGATGTGCTGATTTATGTACACCAACCTCACCTGTGAATGCACGTGGGGATGCTAGTGCTAAGGGGCCTGTGGGGGTAGTACCTTGCCTTGCACTACTTTGTTGATTAGGAGCTTGTGTTTTTCAGGGATTAGGAGTTTTTTGTGGTGTGCCACCCTTCCCCACTCAGCACTTGGCTTCCTCCTGGTTTATGTGCCCACCCCTCTCCTTATAGGTGAACCTGGTGCTGGGGGACGGCCGGTCCCTGGGCCTCACAATCCGAGGTGGAGCTGAGTATGGCCTTGGCATTTACATCACTGGCGTGGACCCTGGCTCAGAAGCAGAAATCAGTGGACTCAAGGTGAGGGGACAATGGACCATGGGCTGTGTGGGGATGTGGGTGGGACAGGTCAAAGTAGGTGGTGGCCCAACTGAGGACTAGATCAGCTGGGAGCCCTGGTGGCTGCTGGGTCTGCAGTGTACAGCTTTGAGTCCCCGAAGCAGCCTCCTCCACTCCCCAGGCAGTCGGCCAGTCCTGCTCTTTTGAGGCTGCTGTTTTGTAAATATTGTTGATGCTCCTGATGGCCCTCACCCCAGGGCTCGTTCTGACACAACCAGAGAGGAAGAGGAAGAGAGGAAGCTAGCCGTGAGCTGTGGCTGTAGGAGGCAACAGGGCTGCCATCCAATCCAGACTGACAGTTACTGAAATTGCATAATTATCTCATGTTCTAAACAGAGCTGTGAGCCTAGCAGTTGAGAGCCATGCCACAAGTATTTCAGGCTACCTGGTGGAGTGAGGTGCTGTCCCCAGGTTCTCCCACCAACTGGTCTAAGGTGGGGCTCGAAACAAAGCTTGTGCCCAGTGAGTCTTGACTAAATCCCAAAGGCCAGGGTGTAATTTTCAGAGCTGAGCACCCTACGAGGGATAACAAGCACTCGTCAGAGAGCCAGACACCCTGCATGCCAGGACACCGGCCCAGATCACTGAGATACATGACAGCCCGTGTTCGAGCAGTCATAGGTGATAGGCCCATGGTGATGTGGCATGCTGATAGTGGGCCCAGGGGTGACATTTGAATCAGGCTCTGGGGACCAAAGAGGTGGATGATGAGACAAGCTGTGGAGGTAAGCTGCAGTGTTGAACAGCTTCACAGTTGGAGCACAGGTGACTAGATGAGTACCTAGCCCAAGCCCAAGGCTGGAGAGGTGTCTGCCACGAAGGATCCGGCATGTGCATGTGAGTGTGTGCATGCATGCATGGTTGCATCTCAGGATCCACAGGGCCCCAAACCCCAGCATGGCAGACAGACTGTCACAGGAGGGTGTGGCAAAAATGGGCTTTTGGGGAACGTGGGGCATTTGGAAAGTACTCTGGGCTCTACAGAAAAAGGCAGTGCCACGTCCCTGCTCCACTCCAATCCTTCCTGGCTGTGTGACCTTGGAGCCTCCTCCACCTGCCTCAGCCTCTCTGTCCCTACAAAGGAGCGTTACTTGTTGAAAAGATAAAAGGAAACAAATTGCATTGTTAGTTATTGTAGTAAACATGGGTGTAGACTGTGTCTTTCTAAAATTCACATATCAAATCTTCATCCTTCAGTGTGGGGCCAAGTGTTCGAGCCTTTGGGAAGTGTCTAGGTCATGAGGGTGGAACCCTCATCTGTGGTGTCGTTGACCTAGCAAGAGGGTCCTCACCAGGCACAGAATCCACTGACATTTTAATGTCGAGCTGTCCAACTTCCAGAACTGTCAGCATTACCTGTACGTGAGCTGAGCTCTCTGAGGGACTTGGTTGCAGCACCTGGCAACATTATATTATAGAGAAGGAATTACAGGGTTCCACCCTCTGCAGGGTTAATAGGCAACTAATGTTTGCTGCGGGAGGGAAAGACAGTTTTTTCAGTGATGCAGCTACTGTCTAAATTGCACATGTAAATAAATCCTTATTCCTAAAATGAAACTCATTGGGACACACACATACTCATGAGACGGGGGCAGCAGATAGCACTGTCTCTGACCTCCAGGAGTTATGCCCTATTGGGAAGATGGGCAGCAAAAATACTCTGGTCCTTTGGTTAGAAAGAAGGCAAAGGAGACACATTTTGTGTAACTTCCCTATTGCCTGAATTTGTCAGGTGGTTGTGGGCGCTCGGGGGTAATTTGCTTGCAAACTGCCCACCTTCGGTTAAGTCCTGTGCTGTCCTCGGCAGGGAGGCGCTTGGTGGTGGCTGCCACCTTCCTTTCCCTTCACAGGCCCCTTGCCTGTGCTGACACCTGCCCACACTCACTTGGGCATCCAGCACTGATTAATTCTGTTTATTGCAGTGCACTTTCCATGGAATTAGGCATATTGAAATGGAATAAAGGGCCTGCTTGTGTGGGTGGTAGAGCCAGAACAGGCTTTATTTGTAAATAGTGCTCCGTGCTGCGGTGCAGCACTGCCTTTTACGGGGCTTCCAGCTGCTCAGCCCACTTAGTTTGCAGGGCCCAGTGTGAGCCCAGAGAGGAGGCAGGACGTTCAGGCCCTGAGTGGAAAAGCACTTGGGAGGCCAGTCATACCCCCAGCATTTAACCCAGGGGTGGTCTGTGCAGCCTGGAGCATGTCTACCTTCCCAGCATGTCCTGGGTTTTTTTGCACTGTGCTCCCATACCCAGCCAATCTCCAGTCCTTCCAAAGAGTGAACCACTAAGCGTCTTTTGTTCCCTTAGGGACAGCCTATATTGAATGGCATTCAGAAGCAATTGTAATAGCACTTACCATCCATTAACAGGTTATTATGAGTGAGACATGGTGCTAACATTTAGATACATCTGCTTGTATTAAATCCTTTCTATAGCCCTGTGGGTTGGGGGTGGGGGCTTTCACAGCACAATTTAACAGATGAGCAACTGAAGCTCACAGAAGTGCAGTAACTTGCCCAGGGTCACACAGGGATCCGGCACTGGCCCTTCTGGCCCTTGTAGCTACATCCTTTGTTCTACCGTTGTTCTGTTGATGTTCTCCCAGGTTGACCCACCTCCGTGGCCTCTGTTGAGTCTTTCCAGGCTGAGAGCCCACTACTTTCCTACCATGGGGACCAAGCTGCTGTCTTAGATAGGATCCTTGGGACAGGTCCTTTGCTTTTGGGAATGTCCCACTAGTGGGGCAACTGCTCTGCCACCTATGGCTTTGGAGCAGGCCTTCCATACATCTGGATTAGAAGCAGTATTTCAGACAGCATGGTCTGTGCTCTGCAGGTCTATTGGGGAGCCTGGGCTGTGTGCTACCTTCATGGGGCTGGACTGACCCCGCTACAGACTGGCTTTTCTAGTCCTGTCCACCTGTTCTCTCTGGATCAAGCTTTCTCAGAGCAACACCGTGTGCTGGGGACCTACTAGGTGGCGGGAAACGTGCTAACATCATCCACTCAGATCTTCACACAGCTCTGCAAGGGCGGTGGAACTCCTGTGTCCTGTGCATGTCAGAAGTGTGTATGTCTGACATGTCCCAGCTCTGGCCATGTGAGGTGGCGCCTAGGGTGCACTTCTCCCTGATGCCCCTGCCCACAACAGAGCAGCTGCACAGAGTTGGTGCCCAGGAAATAAAGGAAGGACTGTGGCCAGGACAGGACCTAACCAAGCTCTGATCTTGAGCCCTGTCTCCCTTGTGCCCCAGCTTGAACACAGCAGCGCTGGCATGTTGATGGACGTGGTATTCATTCATTTTTCTCATTGCTATGACAAGCTGCCCAAACAAAGCAGTTTAGGAAAGGGCTTATTTTAGTTCACAGATTGAGGGTATGGCCAATCAGTCATGGTGGGCAGGAGTGTGAGACAGCCAGTCACATTGGATCCACAGGCAGGATGCAGCCTGGGACTTTAGCCCATGGAATGACCTCAATTAGACTTTCTGGAAATACCTTCTCGACATCCAGGGGTATGTTTTCATGGAATTTAAGTCTAGTCAAGTTAACAAGATTCATCAACCATCATAGTAAACTTACTGCCCACATAGGATGCAAACTGCACAGCCTGCCCTTGCTCCTCGGTGCCGATTGCTTTGTTGCTAAAGCAGGCTGCCTGGCACTGCCGCCCACAGCACGGCTGCTCATTGCGGGTGCCCTGGGAGCTTTCCAGGGTAGAAGACAAGTGACTGAGGCCTGTCAGGCTCACATCTCGGCCTCCAACTTCATTCATTTACACCTGAGCTGAGAGAGGCCAGAGGAAGAGGAGCCCTGGAGCAGAGGAGCCTGACAGCCCATGGCTGTTCTCTCTTCCTCCGGGTGAGAGAAGGGTGTAATTATTACCAGATGATGCTGTTAAAGGAAGGTCCTTCAGATGGGCTTTCTGCCACATGCTCCCAGGGACCCAAATGTGGCCAGATACTAAGAGAGAAGTTGCAGAGGACGTGAAGGTGCCCTAGAAACCGTCTCTAAATGATCATAATGAAAATAATACACATACCATCTTCACGTTTATATAACTCCTGATGGCTTAAAAACTCAGCTCAAAAGAACATACTGGGATGGATTCCTTGGCAGTGCTAAAGAATTTATCCGATTTTATGGCAGTCATAAGTAAGATGACAGAAATAATCATCTAATGTTTATATAATTCTTGGGAGTCTAAGAGCATTTTGCAAACAGTGTTCTCTCTTTCCACAACTTAAAATGAGTGAACCAATTTCTTGAATGACACCAATTATTCACACCTAGGAAAAGAAAAATAGATCATCTGTATGCCCGAGCTATGTCAAAGAAAGGAAGCGCAGAAAGGTTTCCCAACTTTCTCAAGGTCACACAGCTAGTAGGCAGAGACACTGGGGTCGGATTCGGTCCTCTCACGCCCTTCTAGGATGTTCTAGCAGTTCTCACCATGGTGCCTTTTTGAAGTAGCTGTCAGCATGCAGGACTTTCCATTGCAGATGGCTGGGTTCTGACTCCTGGTTTCTGACCCTGTTTGTGATGTCTCTGCCTCACGCTTCCCTGTGGGCTGTGTCTCCCCAGGGACAGTGCTGGCATCTTCAAGACTAAGATAGAAAAGTGACCTCCCATCCTCTTCCTGCAGGCCACGCCCCTCCATGTGCCTTCCCTGAGTGTCTCTGCTGCCCTCAGGCAGCCCTAGGAGGACCTGATGGCCCTGGCCTCCTTTTGTCCCATCCAGCAGCTTGCCCTGAGCCTATTGCTAACCAGTGAGTGGAGCAGAGACAGGCTCTAGAGGCTCCGCCCACAAGAAACCTGCTCCAAAGGGGAAGGCTCCAGGTCACCATTTTATTAACTGAGCAGGGCTTTGACCTGTTTCTTTGAATTCAGACCCAGTCCCAATGACGGCAGGCTGCCCGTGGGCACACTGACATTTGTCACCAGTGACTGTCTTAGCCTTGCA